TGAGGTAGGGTTGAGATTCTTTTTTTCCCTATATATAGATACCAGTGACTCAGCATTATTTATTATTTGGCATTTATTATTATTTGGCATTCATTTTTTTAGGAAGATGATCTTGTAAATGGCTGGCATGCAGTGTTTTTGATAGTGCTATTAACCTCCCCCAACACCTTGATAATAATCACAGTTATGATAATAACAGTAGTAATAGCAGCTGCTAATTTTTTTTTAAATGTTACTAAGCCTCAGTTCATGCCAGCCTGAGTAGATAAGCAGCTCTTTAAAGGCAGGGACAACTTTGAAAATATTATTATTGTTATTTTGGTATTGGGGATTGAACTAAGGGGCACTCGATCATGGAGCCACATCCCCAGCCCTATTTTATGTTTTATTTAGAGAAGGTCTCACTGAGTTGCTTAACACCACTGGGATTATAGGTGTGCCCATTGTGCCCAGCCTGAGGATTATTTTAATAAAACATTCAGTCATGTCCAAGGTGCCACACAGAGGTGATGCAGTACTGGGTATACTGCATCCCATGATTCTGAGCCCCCTGGGCTTTGTGCACCAAAAGGAGGACTCACCTTAGACTCAAGGGAGAGCAGGAACTGCCAAGCCAGGACTTCAGGGCTGCCTTCTGGACCTGCCATTCAGACTCTGTCCATGTTGTGAACCAGCTGATCACAGATGTTCTGACTTGAAAGATGAGCTGCCTCAAACAGCTGCTTCTAGGTCAGTTGTTTCATACATGGGCAGCATGTTTAGGTGGTGGTTTTCTGTGGAACCCTGTACATGATTTGATCAGGATTTGGTTGATCTCTAGAATGGACACTGAGAACTATAATACGGAATTGAAATGCACTTCATGTAATTCATTGTTGCCAGGAGAGATGTGTTCCATGTTTTATCTTGGGCTTCTTAGGAACACCTCCCCACAACCTGCACCCACATACTTCCTACACACTTCCAACAGTACAACCCCATAGCCCCAGCCCACCTCTAATGCATGTATGTACACATGCACATACACCAGCATACTCCCCACATCCTCCTCCTTGCAGACAATGCATCCTACATCTCCTCCTGCTCCCCCAACTTCACAACATGACAGAACTCTCCCAACCGAATCACCAAAGCCCTCCCCACACAGCGCCTTCCACTCCTTTCATACTCACTTCTCATATACCCCAACACCCCACGCTACCCACAACTCACACCTACACGCCCCAACACCCCCCACCTCCATAGCTACAACCCTTCCACCCACTCCCTAAGACTAGACAGTGGTCAGAGGTCTGGGAGACTCCAGTGGAGACCGCTGTGCTTCTATCATGTGCGGCCCTCCTCCTGCAGGGCCCTACCCTTGACCCTAGAGCCCTAGCTTTTCCCCGGTTTTGTTTTGGAGAGAAGCAACAGCTTGTACTCTTGACAGAGTTCCAAGAGGAAGAACAGTTGCTGTGGTGACGACTCCCTGTGGGGAGTAAAATCTACACTCCGGGGCTGTTTTGATTCAGTGTTCTGAAGAGCTGCTCTGTCTAGAGAAAATGTGAGGGATGGGGCAAAACACTTTGGTCCTTTTAAGGTTAGCCCGCGTCCCCTCTCATTGTTTTTTTTTATTTTTTATTTTTATTTTGTAGCTGGACACAATATCTTTATTTTATTTATTTTTAGTGGTGCTGAGGATTGAACCCAGGGCCTTGCCCGTGCTAGGCAAGAGCTCCACCACTGGGCCACAACCCCAGTCTCTCCGCTCCCATTGTTTTTTAGGGCAGGGCATCTGCTAGATTTCTTGCCAGGTAATTTGGATCCTAAAAAAAAAAAAAAAGTACCTGTGTTTGCTGTGTGGGCCAGGCTTTCCTGCTCTGGGTCCAAGACACAGGCAGCCTCCTCCTACCTAAGGGAGTGAGAGTGAGCGTTCGAGTTATTCTCCCGAGGCTCTCATCTGCCAGGCATGGGGCTGTCATCACTGTTACTGTTGAGTGCCACTGTGCACTGGGCTTGGGGAATGAAGTCAGTGAGGCTGGCTGGCTCTTGCCTTGAGCGAGGTGAGGCTGGCCTCTGTACCATCAGTTATAATACAATATGCTGCCCACACAGTGGAGGGATGTTGTGTCCTGGAGGGAGGACTTGCTGCAAGGTGTGGTTATGACACTTGCATGCAGTGGCTGCATGGACTGGGGGCTTCTGAACCCAGTATGGTTGCATGTATCCCACTTCTTCTCTTTGGTTGGCATGTGGATCATGTCCTCTTGTGTCCAAGGTGCCACACAGAGGTGATGCAAACTGTGACGACACTCATGGAATCTGGCCTGGTAGAGATGCAGGGAAAATAATTACGGATAGATTGAGTACAGGGCATGGAAGAGGAGGAGGGATTTTTATGCAGAGGAAGAGCAGAACAGGCAGGAGTGGAAAGGGTCTGAATTCAGGAAGATGGGCCCTAGAAGCTCCTTCCTCCTCCCTGGCCCCTGCACATAGTTCTTGCCTTGTCTTGCTTGGACTTTTACTCTGTGCATGCAAGAAGATCTGCCCTCTGACTGTGGCCAGGGAGGGGTTGGGTCTTTCTCTGGATGACACTGCTGCTCTGATTGAAGGAATGAGGCATGAATGGGAGGATCTGATATATAATCCTGCAGGGGGTGGGAGGGCATCACCCTGAAGACACAGGCAGGAACCTCAGCCTCTATTGTCATGAAGGTGGTGAGCCCCTGACCAAGGACTTATTCACCTGGCCACATTGCAGAGCTGTCACAACATATATAGTCCCTTGCTTAATGCCACTTTGAAGTTGAAGAAACTGAACCTCTGAGAAACCAAACAACTCACCTGCAGTTACACAACAGGTACATGTGACTTTGCTTTATCAACCTTTCAGCTGAGCACATAGGCTTAAAAAAAAAAAAAAAAAAAAGCTTTGTTTTGGTCTAGGGATGTAGCTCAGTGGTAGATTGCTCACCTAGCATGTGTGAAGCCCTGGGTTTCATCTGCAGCACTGCAAGAAGGAAAAAAAAAAGTGCTTTGTTTTCCAAAGAAGTGTGTGTAGGTGAGGATTATAAGACCTTGTTTAAGCAGTGTTTTCCCCCACAAATAAATGTGCCAGCTCTGATTCGTAGTTTAAATTTGGATTTTAATTAGGATATTATCACTTGTGGATCACACCAGAGAGGAGACAGCTGTCTTACCTTTACTTCTCAGACTGTGATACTTTGAGAAGCAGCTGATCAGAGGTTAAAATAGCTTCTGGTTTCCTAGGATCTTCAGCAGACTTTGCTATTCTGTAAAACTCTGATTTATCTGAAAATAAAGAATTTTGCTGTTCAAACTTGTGCCTCATTTTGGGGCCCAGTACATTTAATAAAAGCTCAGTTTGTATTGTAATGCAGGGAATGGAAAGATGGCCCCCAGGTCAGATGAGGGCTTTGGCTCACTTGCATCAGCAATTGGCCTTTGTGGTGGTTAGATGTGGGGAGCCTATTTGGACTGGCTTACAGAGCACTTATCATCCTGAGTCCTGGCTTCACCATTTGCAGAGTGGGTTTGGGATCTTTTCTCTTCCTGCATCTCCCAGGGTCTCTCTATGATTGGACAAACTGTAAAAGATAAGAACTTTGACCCCTACAAACTGCTGCACACGTTATTAGGCTACTACTATCACTGGCCACACGTAGCCTAGGCAGTTAGTTGCTAGCAACAGAAATCCATTTGGGTTGATTTTTGAAGAAAACAAAGCACTGTGTGTTTGTTTTTTTTAAAAAAAGAGAGCCAGTCTTGGAGGTACCTGGCTAGAAAGAAGCCCAGCATTCATGGAAAAACTGAAAAGTTACTCAGTGAGGAGACCATTACCGTCTTAAGTGCTGGGCATTGAAGCTTGCTTTTCGGCCTCTGTGCCCTGGGATCAGATTCTAATCAGCCTTTCTGCAGGTGCCTTCAGAAAGAAGCCAGCCCCCACCTCCCCCCACCATCCTGAGATGGAGCAATAATGCCAGAGTCACCTTCCTGCCGAAAGGCAGGCTGGGAAAGTGAGTGTTGGACACTTTTGGTTTTGGTAGTACAGAGTAGGCCCTTCTTCCCACAAAGCTCAATGTGGAGCCTTCCCAAGCGAAGCAGGGCTTAGTCACTGAACAGCCCACAGGAAGACTTGGGGAACCCAGACTTTAGTCCGTCTCCTGCATCACTCCAGGTGATGTGGTAAAGTGGCAGACCAGTCAACTTGAGGTCCAGAGACCTGAGGTCTTGCACTAGCTTCTCCCATTCTCTTGCTGCACACTTTACCTCTGGCCTTCTGGGTAAATGCGTTATGTGTGTTTCCCTGCAGCTCTATGTCCAGAGTCTATTCTGAACCACAGTAGCCCTCAGGCAGCTGGTCACTTCCTCCTCTGGGTTACCAGCTTGAAGAAGAGGGATGTGCTCTGAGAGGCTCTTCAACTGGGTCATGTGTTAGAGTCATGACCCTGGAATAGGCTGCCCACTGAACCTTCAGATTCCCAGATCTCACCTGGAAAGATTCTGGTTTGGTGGGCGCTGTGGTTGGATATAGTTCACCCTGCACTAGATGATATCTGAGCCTTTGCAGCGCTACCAACTGTGGGTTTTTAAATATATAAATATATATATATATATATACACACACACACACACACACACATACATATACGCACATCCATATATATATATTATACATATATATTCTCATTTGGTCTAAGAATGGACATGGTCACATATCTCTGGCAGTTGTGCAGAAAGCAAAACTGTGGCTGTTTATTTGAAAGCGTGATGCAGACAGGAAACCTCACTTTATGCTCATCCATCTTTTATTAGCTGTCAGCCATTTGTTAAGTCTCTTAGTTTTCTTGAACCTGGTTGAATACGATGATGATATCTGATCCACAGGTAGTTGTGGGGGTCAGAGTCCTGGTGGGCACATTGTAGCAGTGTGAACTAATTACTAGCAGTACATGATGCTGTTAAGCTGGAAGGGGCTGTCCCTCCAGAAAGATTCAGAGGCAGCTGCCCTCTGCTGTCTTTGTGGTATGAAGGTAGCTTTCCTAACCCACATCCGGCTTGTTCTTTCAGTGGCTTCAACCAATGACCTTTGCATTTTCCTTTCTGGCCCTAGCTAAATGATCTTTATAAATATATCTAGTCACATTGTTGCCACCGCCCTACCTGTCCTCCCTCTTCAACTGCTGCATCCCACTACATCTGGCTCTTGCTGGTTTCTCACTGCTTGTGGGGTAAATGTCATCTTACTCTCTCCTCTTGGATGCAGGGCTTATCTTCATCACCTGTTCCTTCCAGTGATCCCAGCACTCCCTGCCCTGCCCATTTGGCCTGGATGTTCTCTCTTCCCTACTTGGTGGCTCACTTGCTCTCCAAGTGGATACAGGCTCCACATTCCCCTGTGTTTGGACTGCCGAGGCACCTGTGGTGCTTGCTGTGTGGTGATTGTCCCTTCCCTGCCTCCCCCTTAATCTTCCTCCATCCAGCTCTCTGAGGGCAACAGATTGGTTTTAGTCACTTTTTTGTCTGCTAAATGAGAAGACCCAGAAGCAGCTAGGTAGGCACAAGGATTTAGGAGTATTTGGGCTGCAGTTTTTTTGGGGAAGAGCAGACTTGCCCTTTGGGGCTTGTTTGAAAGCCTGTAGCTTGGCAATATCAATCAACAAGATGAACTTCGTGGGATTGTGATGTCAGGTTTCCACAAGTCTGCTGTTCAGGTAAGATCTAGGGAGCTTTGACACCTGTGCATTAGGCAAGGACTAGGCATTTTAGGGTAAGCCATGGCATGATGTAGATGTTAGGAATTTGATGTGGTCCTGCAGGGCTGTGGTGTTGGCTGGTAATACCTATCCTTGTAATAAATGGTAGTCTTTATATCTCTTAACTCACCTCATTTCAAGAGTGATTCTACCCTTGTGAAAGGTTGTAGATGCGTGAGTGTGCCAGGTCGGGGCAGGGGACAGGCCAGAGCAAAGTGAGGGTTCTAGAGGGAAATAGCCGAGGCTTGAAGGATCTGCTGTACTATTTGGGTCCTGGCAACCCCGGGTTTTATGACTCTGGATGGATTACTTAATTAAACTGCTCCTCCATTTTTCTCATCTGTGAAAGCAGAAAGGCTAGTGTTGACAACAGTCATTGAATAATGTTGATTATATTCAATAATGTCAGTGTTGTTCAGTTAGTTGAATAATCACTTGCTTGGCATATTGTTAACCCTTAAGAAAAAGGATAGCTGATACTGTAGGAAATACAGTAGAACTGAAATGAATGACAGCTGGGTCCAGGTCTCCCCAGAGCTCACCTTCCAATAGGATAATAGGATATCTTCCAATTTTGTGGATCTTAGTTAGATTTTATCCCTACCACATGCCCAAGAAGTGGGTAGGGTTAATTTTGCAGGAGAGAAACAATTGTTGGAGGAGAGGGGAGAAAAGATAACTAAAGGATAAATGAACGGATGTGTGGAACTGGGGGCTTCTAATGGTCTCTGTTCCCATGCTGTTGAGCTTCACCCATTCCTGTCATACCTTCATGACTTGCATAGTCCTGAGTTAGATATAACCAAGCCTCAGTGCCTCACCCGTGCAACAAGGCTAATGATAGTTAATGCTGTCATTAAAATGATCTGACAGTGGGAGGCTCAGACAAGAGGCTCCATCCTATAAGATGAGGAATTGAGGGCTGGAGATGTGGCTCAAGTGGTGGCGCACTTGCCTGGCATGTGTGGGGCACTGGGTTCAATCCTCAGCACCACATAAAATAAAAATAAAGATGTTGTGTCCACCGAAAACTGAAAAATAAATATAAAAAAATTTTCTCTCTCTTCTCTCTCTTTCTCTCTCTTAAGAAAAAAAAAAATGGGGAATTGATTTGAGTCTCCTGTCTCTCCTGGTTGTTTATTCAGTTTTGGCCCAACTGCTGTTGTGTGCCACCTACAGGGGAACAATGGTGGATAGGCCTCTTAAGACCTTTCAGTCTAGAAGGAAGACTGATGACAAATATCAGGTAAAGACAAGTGTTTGGGGTGGTTATCATTAGAAGTCATGGGAAGAACACCTTTCTGTTAAAAATGGCTAGGGAGAGTCCCAAAACCCACTGACCATCTTTCAGCTGTCCTGGAGGTTTGTGATGGGTTTACAAATTAATTACCAATTCTGTGGCTTCCCTGCAGAATCCTCACAGATGTGCTATCTCTTCTTCCAGCCTGGGGCCTCTTATCACTCATTCCTGAGGGAGTCATTCTTAATTTGAGTATCATTTAAAAAAAAAAAAAAACAAGTATTGTTAAAAACAGACAAACCAGAGTTGCAAGTCCACCATCTTTTTTTGCCCTCTTTTACACTGTTGTAAGCTGAATCTAGAACATTCTGAGGAGAGCATCTGGGCTTCAGTGTCATTGTCAGGTCTCTTTGCAACTAATTTAAGACCAGTAACTGCAACCAACTGCAATCCTGACATACCCTCATGATGTTTCCCTTGGCCAGATATGCACTCAGTAGTCTCAAGATTCAGAGAATTCAGCAAATTATGGCAAGACAGAGCCACATAAAACACTCACCAGATTTTCGTGACAAACATGGCATTACAGTGCTAGCTAGTGGAACCACTTTCTGCCTTGTTGCATGGGTGTTTTTAACTACACAGATGGAGATAGAATGGAATCCATCTCCTGTTGGCAGAATTACCCTACCTAAAAGAGTGGAATGATCAGTAACCATCACCATTATTATAATTCAGAATTGTTTCAAAACCAATTGTCTTGTGAGCACTCTGTCACTCATTAAAATGTATGTACTTGAAAAAATACAATTCTCTTGAAATCTTAAAAAAGTATTGTTGACAAATAATAAAATTGTATCTATGGAGTATAGTGTGATATTTTGATATCACATTATATGCATTATAGAAAGATTAAATCAAAGCTGGGTGTGATGGTGCATGCCTGTAATCCCAGCAGCTTGGGAGGCCAAGGCAGGAGGATCACAAGTTTGAGGCCAGCCTTGGCAATGTAGCAAGACCCCTGTCTCAAAATAAAAAAGGGCTGGGATGTAACTCAGTGGTCAGGCACCCTTGGTCAGTTACCAGTAACAACAACAAAACACCATTGTCAAGCTAATTAATATATCAATCACCTCTGGCATACCGTTTTTTGATGATGCAAATGTTTAAAAATGCTTTTTTGGCAGTTTTGAAATCTATAATATATTATTAGTTACTGCACAGTTCTCACTTTTGTGTGTTTGGAACTTTATGCCCTTTGGTCAGCATCTTCCCTTTCCCTGATCATTTTCCCCTTCTTCTGGTAACCGCCAGTTTCTATGAGTTTAATGCTTTTCAATTTCACATATAAGTGAGGTTATGCATTGTTTCTTTCTGTGCCAGGTTTATTTCATTTTGCATAATGTCCTGCGTGTTCATCCATGTTGTTTTAAGTGACAGAATTTCCTCCTTTTTCAAGGCCAATAACAGTCTATTGTGCATGTGTGCACATGTATGTGAATACACATGCCACATTTTCTTCAATCATTCATCCAAGTTTGGACACTGAGGCTGTTTTTGTTTAAGCCTCATTTTTTAAAGATTAATAGTGAACCATCTGTAGAAACTTGGCCCCACAGGAAAGCACTATCCGAAAAGGATAATGCATTCCATTCATATGAATGTTACCACATTTAAGCAGTGGCAAGTGTAGATCAGCTTCTTTTCTGGTTGGTCTAACAGTAAATGATACTTCCATATTCCAGCATGGATCAGGACCCAGGCACCTGGGTACTTCTAAACCTGTTGTGGCTCCTGGAGTGTGTGGCAGCAAGGAACAGTTGGCTGTTTGCTTTCTTGGGCTTTTTTGAGTCGAGGCTGGGAGTGTAATAGACAAATTCTGGTTTCCTGGGAGGGATGCATCAAGAACCAGGGTTTGAGTCAGGCCCCTTACTGTTTAACAACTGGACTTGGAACATCCCAGAATGCCAATAGTCTGTTTCCCACTGTGGGCATCAGGTATGGTCTTGCACCAGATGGGGACCTAGACTGCCTTATTTTAATATCAAACACCCCTATTGAAGTTGTACCAACTCCACCTCAAGGGGGGAGGAGGCAGCTTGAGAGGCAGGACCCCATCACAGGTAAGCATGGCATCATGATTTACCTGCCCCTGCTGTTCCAGGCCTGCTGCTTGGGCTTCCTCCATACCACAGTGCTTCCTCCAGGGAGTCTGGGGCGGGGGAGTTTGGAGCATCTTGGAGCAACTGGGCACCCAGAGGAACTGGCCTAGTCTAGCTGCATGTGAAGAAAAGGAGCGAGACTGGTTTTTGCTCAGCTCTCTGCATGACCTTCCACAGGGTTATTTCTTGTTGGAACTGGTGGGGGTGAAGCCCTAGGCAGTGGGAGGGGCCTTGAGCTAGGAGTTCCCTATGCTGCCCTTCCACATCCACCTTGTGTCCCCATTCCCATTCACCCTTGAAGAGGCAGGGCAGGTGACTTTGGAAATCCTTCCCCAGCCACCTTAAAAGCCACCACCCTTCCTGAGTGCTTTTTTGGGGGAGGAAGGTACTGGGGATTGGACTCAGAGGCACTCAACCACTGAGCCATATCCCCAGCCCTATTTTGTATTTTATTTAGAGACAGGATCTCACTGAGTTGCTTAGTGCCTCACTGTTGCCGAGGCTGTTTTGAATTCGTGATCCTCCTGTCTCAGCCTCCCTAGCTGCTGGGATTACAC